GTGGCTAGCGCTGCTGTTGAGCCGCACCCTGTGGTCCACTGCACTGTGCCAGAGAAGTGGCAGGATGCTCTTCGCTTAGAGGTTGCCTGGAGGGTGGGAGCACACGTGTGCATTGAGGCTTCTGGTGCATACTGCATGACATGGATCAGTGCTGAGCATGGGGTCCAATCGTACAGCGACTTCGGAGGCTTTGTGGAGTTCTGTGTAAATGGGGTGGGGTTTATGCAAATGGAGTTTACGGCGCTGCTGTATGACGTGTACATGTCACAGGATGCCTGCGATATCTTGCTTCACCAGCTTCATGCGGCTCATGGTCGTGTTTACGAACAGTTTGAAAAGGTTGTCTTGTATAACATAGTCTCAGATGCCGTCGATCGGCGAATGCGTGCTCTTGGATAGCAGTGAAGCTGCTTTAATCGAGTGGCACCAACTCCGGGCGAGGTGGCAAGCCTGTTGCAAAAAAGGTTTAGGGTTTAGGGTTTATAATTAGGGTTTAGGGTTTGTTTGGGGTTTAGGGTTTTACGGTCTCGGGTTTATACGGTTCGGTGGGGGCCGAGAGATAAACAGCAGGGGGGGAAACTAAGGGGTTTGGATGGACCCTGTATACCCTATGAGCCCTAAAAAGATTATTCCAATTGCTATCGCACATGGCGGGCCCCCCGCTGCGATGTTCTTGGGCTCTGGCTTTCCCTGCGGCATGCCGGGGAGAAGCATGCGAATGACGCTTGCAGGTAGGCTCGGCCATGGCCGCTGAACTGTTACTTTGGTGCCCTTTACCCTTTTTCTTGGCTCTGGGTTCCCTTGTAAAGAAACTAACCGAAAAAAGGGTACCCTTATGATATGGTTACTGGGCTACTCAGGTTAGGACCATGAAAGACCGTGCAGATGTAGAAGAAAACAGTGTTTTTCCCGGCAGGATACCCTTGAGATTCTTAGCTTCCATATGTCCCATGTGGGCGGGGAGTCGAGCTAGGCTATGCCGAGTTTCTTTATCGATTTATGAGGAGGGTACGCTGGGGGCCACCACTAGGCTTCTGGCCTGACAGTTCTGCCGAGCGGCCACGAGACCAAACAGGCTTATATGAAACAGGGTTTCGATTTCTGCTTTTGGTGTGCGGTTTTCTTTTTTGGGGCAATTAGAGCGTGGATCATACGTCATATCATCTCTTGACCCAACCTTGTGTGTATATCCCCCCCTGCGCCATCGACTCCCGATGATATAAAACCGGTGATAAAAGACTTGGCTTTGGCTGCGCAGCCAGCCACGAGCCCGAGAACAAGGCTTTTTGCATCAGTTGAGCAACCGTGTACCCCACACCCCATGTGCTCCCAATGATGAAACGGCCTGTTGGCTTCGCAGCCAATCATACACTACTGAATCACTACAATAACAAGAGCCTCCAGCACGCAGGTCAGACGAAATCATCGACTTGACTCGGACAAAGTACCCTAGTACCCTGTCGACATGACAAAGTAAGAAGAGAATAGCAGAGAATGCCAGCTCACTGAGAACCTCTATAGTAGGCATATTTCCCCGAAACATTGAGTCATTGCGAACTGGCCCGTCACTGACAAGGAAGACCCGCACCGCGCTTCGGGTTCTTAGCGAGACGTTTGCCGAGGACCGTTCTGACATCACATGACGTCACATGCTTTAGGGTTAAGGGTTTAGGGCGCGTTCACTGCATTAGGTCATTATACCATTGCGCCAGATTGTTAGCTCGCTGCCCGGAAAGGGGCTTTCTAGGCAAACTTATTTGCAAGGGGATGACGGGCATATAGTGCAAGACCGTACAAAAAGGGGGCAAGGTGCACTGGAGGGGTGTCAGGTTGCAAATTCAGGTGCGATTCAGGGATGGTCTGGCAGGTCATTTGCTTCCCTGGTGGGACGCCTGTTCGACCCTAAGGCCCACAAACGGGGAAACTCAAACAAGGTCCATCACGCGAAGCTTGAAAAACCTAAACCAGCTCGTTCACGGGAGATTGATGTCAAACTCCTTGGTTCTCTGGAGACTCGGTGACAATCAGAGAGGCTTCCAACATATATCATTGCTAATGAAGGAATATTCCTTGAATTATGTAAAGGGGCCATGAGTGTTGTAAGGTATACATGTCTTTTTGAGAACCCTAAACCCGACACCGTTAATCGCGCTCCTTTTTTGGAGCTGCTTGTCGTGCACTGCAAGGGTCTCGTGAAGAAGCGGTACCGCGCGATGGTCTGGGGAAGCTTCCCTTTAGGCTATGAAGGACGCTGCGAACAGCCCTTGCCACTCAGCTCTGGCGAGGTTGAGTTTCGAGAGGATTTCAATGGACCAGAATTTCTCGGAATCAGGAGACAAGACTCTGGACTTCAGGTGGTTTTGGGGAATGGGAGGCGACGCAAAAAAGTTGCAAGCGGGTTCCAAGATTCACACAAAGCCGGGCTACCTGTAGCCTACTTAGCTGCAGGTATGGAAAGAAGTCCGTCACGCGCTTCGTCAGTGTGGCGATCCCCACTCAGACCTCCGAAGGGCCAGCAGTTAAGCTGCAAGCAGGTCTTCTTTGCCTTTTCGGTGCTAGACGTCAGAAACGTTTTGCAGGTCGTGTCCTTGGCAAGCAATTTCACTGAAAGCCAAAAACCTGTAGGAAGGTCCGACGAATGGGCACTTGCCGCAAGTGGCACATGTTCAGGCTGAGAAACAACGCAACAGTGAGCGCAAGGCTGCCCGGAGGTTCCCCCCTCCAACGCCCCCCCCCAACCATCCAAAAAATGTAAGTTTGTATGGCCGACGGACGCCAGAAATCATAGCAGAGCACTGTCGATTTCCCCCTTCGGCTGTACCCGAAATCCTAACCCCTAAACCCTAAACCCTAAACCCTAAACCCTAAACCCTAAACCCTAAACCCTAAACCCTAAACCCTAAACCCTAAACCCTAAACCCTAAACCCTAAACCCTAAACCCTAAACCCTAAACCCTAAACCCTAAACCCTAATACCCTAAACCCTAAACCCTAAACCCTAAACCCTAAACCCTAAACCCTAAACCCTAAACCCTAAACCCTAAACCCTAAACCCTAAACCCCAACCCCCCTTCCATTAGGCCCTAGGCCAGCCAGCACCGGAGCCCAAGGTCCTAAGTCCTAGAAGTGTTTCTAGACCACTTCTATTTCCTTAAGAACACTCACAAAAAAAAACAAAGCAACAAAAATCATCCCTACATTGCCCTTAAACGGAAGACATAATATATAACCCCAAGATTGCCCTTAACAGGATTCATATATATATATATTTCTTCATATTTATTTTATTTCGATTTTGTATGTTTTTTTTTTGGGGGGGGGTTCTGAAGCAATGGGTAGACCAGGTCAGTTCCTTGGACTTGTGGCCCGAGTCGGGGAGACGACATCAGCTGCGCCGGCATCTGGCCATGCTCGGGTCTCCTATCTTGGGCCGCTTGGTTGCTTTTTCCAGTGGCAGGAGGAAGGAGGAGGCCCTAAACCCTAAACCCTAAACCCTAAACCCTAAACCCTAAACCCTAAACCCTAAACCCTAAACCCCCTTATCCACCCCCGGAGTGTGGAGGGGTCCGAGTTGGGAATTTAGTGGCTTTCTGGGGCAACAACATGATTAGGGTCTTCAGAAATTTCTTGGTTGCTCTCACATGGGTCTCTCGTGCCCTGGCGTGCCACGAAAGCAATTGGTAGGGTTGGGAACTGCTGTCCGTTCCTGATGGCCGTGCTTAAGAGGGTTTTCAGCTTGAGGCGACAGACGCTACGGGCGCGAGGGCCAGTGCCAAGCTCCCCGAGACGGAGAGGCGCGGTTTGAATGGTTAGGGCGTTCGGGTTGCATGAGCCCTTTCGCGGCACGCTGAAGCCTGGATGCACAAGGGCAGGATTCCAGGAACCACTCCAGAAGGCCATGATTTGACTCCAGGATCTACCAACCCTGAGCCCTCCAGAGTCTGTTGAAATTTGAAGGCCGCCACGTGGTGTGGTAGGGAGGTGATTGCCTCAGGATCTCCCAAGAACTCTCTGGGCTCCTCTGAATCTACTCGCTACAACATGCGTGAGAGCGCCTGAAGGGGACTTTGTAAAGTTAAGCTATCATAAGTAGGAAGCCATTTTGAATCCCTACATTGGCCCTACATATTCCCATCTAGTTTGAGGGATGCGCCTCCTTTTGCTCCAGGGTCGCGCTGCTCGAATGAGCCCTCTTCCTTCTTTTTAGGCCGAAGGTGGAAAGCCCCGGCCTGCCAATCAGCCTATTTTGCCAGAGGAAGCCGATGGAGGAGCACAAGACGAGGAGGAGGAGGAGGACGCCCACAAGCATTTTGTGGTGTTTCGGGCTTAGGGAGGAGGGGGGGGGGGACTGAACGAGTTCGGGCTTTGGGGTTCCGGTTTTGACTCCAACGACACTGTGCCAGACTCACTGCAAAAGGCGAGTCATTGCGGCGTCTGGCCCCAGGCGTGGCCTAGTCAAGGAACACGGACATGCCATACTCAACACCGAAGCGGTTTTCTAAATAGGAAAAGCAATAAACCCCCCGGCTCCAGTCAGGGGGGTTAGGAGTGCATGGCGTTTAGGGTTTAGGGTTTTGGGTTTTGGGCCAGTTTAGGGCACCGACTCGCATATGGTTCAAAGCCATGGCATCCAAACTTCGTCCTGCCTACAGAAGCAAAACTGTCGCTGAAGGCGAAGTTGCTCTCGGCATTCAAGCTCAAATTGGATGATGGGTTTCGGGTTTAGGGTTTAGGGTCTAGGGTCTAGGGTCTAGGGTCTAGGGTTTAGGGTTAGAATTTTGCTCGGGCTTCGCAGGGTTGTATTCAGAAGGCTCTGACTCTGCAGTGATGTTCTCTCTTATATGCAAGGGTTGCCGATCGACTTAGGCATTCTACCGACGCCACCAAGGGACGAAGAGCGATCTAAGAGGGCGACGCCCACGGCGACTCGTGCACTTCGGAACCTCTTCCAGGGCTTGGGCCCAGCTCCAAAGACCCGGGCAGATGCCACCAGTGCCACCATGGCCACCCAGTCAGAGAGATCGCTGGCAGCAGAGACCCCGACGCAGGAAACTTTTCCTGAGCCCCTCAGTCCACGAGAAGCCCGGCCTTCTACCAGCACAGGCCCGATACGAGCGCCCCTCAGCCCATCAGGACGCAGCTTAAGAAGCGGCACGCCCGGCACGCCGCGTCCGGGCAGCACGGCAGGCTCCACACGAAGAAAGGCCGCAACCCTCGGCGCAGACCAGCTCACTCGCCCGGGCACTTCTGCCGGCGTGTCCCTACCGGCAGTGAAGTCCAGGAATGCCGCGCAAACCATCGCTGTGATGGAGACTGGCGATCTTCTTGCTGGAGAGGACAAGCTCGAGAACAAACGGCGGTTTTCCTTTGCAGAAGACTCCTTGGACCAAGTGGCGACGGCCATACGCGAGGAGAAGCCAGAGTTGGACTGGCTGCAGGACCTTGAAAACAGGGCAGCTGAAGGGATCTGTTTTAGGAATGTCAACATGGTACTTAAAGGCTCCTATGTCGTACCTTAGTGTACCACAGAATCCAGAAGGACATGAAGCCTGTAGTATTCCTATGTATTCCTTAATTCCTTGGTCCGATGGGAGGACTGCTGGAAGAAGGTCTTAGTTGGCACGCCCGCCTCGGAATGCAAGACGCTCCTCATGCGCTCCCTGCACACCTGGGTGGAAGTGTACCTGGGTTGTTCTGTGGGATATTTTTTCGTTTCCCTTCTTTCCTTATAAGGGAGCCTGTCACAGCCTGTCTACAATTTTTTGAATGGGTTTTAAGCACAACCAAGGTACAACCGCTGGCAGGCCTTGGGCGGCTGGGTGCCAGGCCAAGCCCCGACATATCTGGACGCGTATGAGTTCCAGGAGGCCGTGGGCGTGCCGATGATGAAGGCCTGCACGGGAAGTGGAGGGACCTTGGGGACGCAATGAACCCTAAAAGGGCTTATGGTTCACATTAATTATTAACCTTAGTATGGAATATAGTAGTGTAGGGTATATGATCCCAGTTTTAGGGTTCATTTGGTCCCCAAGGGCTTGTCTGCATGAACCACCAAGGTGCTCACAGTGCGTGCGAATTAGCAACACGAAGCCCTGATGTCTGCGGCTCAAACAAGTTCGGTGAGGTTCGAAGGCCGGTCACACAGAGCAGCAGAGCCTAAGCCCTAAGCAAGACACCTCTCTAGCATGATCCCAGACAGCCCCCAAAACCAGCAAAACCACAGCTCCCGAAACCACTGAATTCCCTTTTGCTGGAACTCATGGCGCGGCTCTTCCCATTCTGGCCATGGAGCCCTGCGGCAGAGCAGGATCCCGAGGATCCTGGCAGAGGGCCCGAGGCGGAAGAGGAAGAGCCGCAGCTGCGCCGCAACGCCTCAGAGCCGAGCTTCAGGCGCACGCTCGAGGACCTAGACTCCAGCGACTCAGAGCACAGCACTGCCTCAGACTACTCGAGCAGCTCCAGCGGAAGCCGGAGGTACCTGTGCAATCGATCCGAGTCCGGCCTCAGCTCTCTTTCAAGAGCGCCCTCCGTGGACTCCTTAGCCTCAGCCCCAGCAGCCTCTTTTGAAGGAGCGCCGGTCTTTAAGGCACGGCCACCTCCCGGGCCTGCTTCGGCTGCTCCTGGCCGGCGGCAGCTCTACGAGATTCCGCAGCGCGGCAAGGGCACGGGAAAGGGCCCGCCTCTGCCGCCCAAAGGCGCTGGCAAGGGCCCGGTTAGCAAGGCTGTGCGCTCTTCAGTGCCCGCCTTGCCAATCGGCCGCCGGCTGTCTTTGAAGCCGAGCCGCGGCGAAGCGGAGGCCTTCTGGCGCGCAAACACAGCCCGGGGCGAGGATGATGGTCGCGCGAGGGCCTTGGCAAGTGCCAGGAGGCGGCTCGGAGCCGTCGGAGCGGCTCGCGACGCCCCAACGACGGAGCTCCAGCTAGATCTGGCGGAGCTGCACGGCGCCTTCGCCCCAAAACCCGTGAAGGTGGTCAAGCCGAAGAAGAGCCAGGCTCGCAGGAAGGAGCTTCTGCCGCGAGGCGTTGCTCAAAACATTGCCATCGCCTTGGCAAGGCTCGGTGCGAGTGGAGCCACCGACTTGGTGGAGGCGCTCCGGGCTCTCAGTGGCGACACGGACGAGGCCCCGGTGCTGTCCGCTGCTGTCTCCGATGGCGCCGCCCGCTTGCTGGACGTCTGGCCGGAGGAGAAGGTGCTGACTCCACTGCTGGAGTTTGCCGCCAAGGGCGGAGGGGGCAGCGAGGAGAAGGAGCCCCTGAGAGATGTCGAGAAGCAGCTGCTGCCCATGGTGGCCATCCCCCGAGTTCGCCAGCGCCTAAAGCTCCTGGTTCTGGCGGGCACGGCTTCGAAGCGCGTTGAAGAGGCCACTGCTCTCCTGGAGCGGGTGCGGCACGCCGTGTTTGAGGTCCAGAATTCTGCTCTCCTGCGAGAGCTGTTGGCCATCATCGTGCTGCTCTTCAACTACGTGAACTTCGGCTCCGCGCCTCCAGGGGAGGAGGACACCCCCAAGCGGGCCCCGCTTCGCGGTGTCGATGTCCCAAGCCTCCTGCGCCTGCGCGAAACCAAGGCGTTCCAGGGCGATTTCGCCGGCTTCAACATGTTGCACTTCGTGCTGAAGCAGCTGCTGCGGCAACAGGCGACCTGGAAGAAGGAGAAACTCGATGAGGAGCTCTCCTCCCTGAAGCACGCGGCGCGTGTGCACCTGGATCACCTGAGCAGAGAACTCGAGGAGCTTCAAGGGGATTTCCTCTTTGCACAGTCAGAGCTCCGCGAGCACCGCAAAGAATACACCGGGCTGCCGGATAGCGACGATGAGGCGGAACGCCATCCCAAGCAGCCATCCAATTGGGGCTTCTTGGAACGCCTCTAGGTTGGATTCTGGGACATTTCATGTTTTTCCTTCTTTGGATTTATAAGGGACCTCAAACCCTAAACCCTAAGCCCTAAGCCCTAAACCCTAAACCCTAAACCCTAAACCCTAAACCCTAAACCCTAAACCCTAAACCCTAAACCCTAAACCCTATAAACCCTAAACCCTAAACCCTAAACTCAGGCCTGCTCGCAAGGGGTTTGGACTTGGCCTCGCTTGCGGAGGCTTGGCTCCGCGGCGAGGAGGTTGTCGGGCGGCCCTATCATCCCGAGGTGCCTTGGGGACTTTAAAGGGGGACCCCAAAATTGGGGGGGGGGGGGGTCATATACCCTTAGGGTTTAGGGTTTAGGGTTTAGGGTTTAGGGTTTAGGGTTTGGGGTCCTCTACTAAGACTCTACTACCTAGAATCCCTATTAAGGTATAACGTGAACCATAAACCTTTTTAGGGGTTCCTTTCGTCCCCTCATAAGGTGGGGGTGTTTCGCGCCTTCGAGCCTCGCTCGGGTGAGGGAGCGCCGCCTCCCGGCTGGCTGTGGCTCTGTCGACCTTCGGGACGCTGGCAGAGATGTTGGTCTGAGATCCGAGGGCCCATCCTCATCTTGTACCTATAAACCTTTTTGGGAAGTACTTTTTGCTTTTTGTTTATATAAAACCCAAGAGGATATTTAAGGATAGTATGTTTATTAAGGTTCTAAGGGTGTATATAGGTACAAAGTGGACCTTCACAGCTGCACTGGGGCCATCTACGCGGCACTTCCCGGCGCAGTTGTGTCCAAGCCACCGGAGGTGCGGGAGGCAGCCGGACCGGAGGATTCCCTGTCGCTAGATCAGTGTTAGGGATCCTTTTTACTTTTTGGGTTCTGGGCTTACTTATATATGAACAAAAAAGGATCCCTTTTTTCTTAGAGGAACAGGGATTAAGGTCGCTGAAGTTGGAAGAGGACGGCTTGCGCGAGAGTGCGCCAAGTGAGGGGTCCACAGCAGCCACCGAGACCGGGAAGCTTCCCTATGTCACATGCGAGAGCCCCCATCGCAGCTCGGCTGCGCTGTGTTTCGAAGTGATCACAGCTGGGGAATCTGGCCGTTTGCTTCGCTTGTCTGCAGCTACAAAGCGGGAGGTGCAAAGTTGGCGCAAGCTTCTCGAAGGCATTGCCGGAGAACCAGGAGGCTATCTCACGGTATCGCAGGTCGCCGGTGGGCGCAACGGACGCAGCTGGTCTCCACAGACGCTCTTCTGTGCGGCGGCAGACGGAGAGCTCGCAGCTTTCCACAAGCCGCGTGATGCACTCGAAGCATCCCCGCCAGCCATGTCATGGAAGCTTACCGACTTCGCAGCCTGCCGTGTGGGCTTTGGGAGCTTTGAGCTCCGACGGCACATGGGCGATCTTGAGTTTGGAGAGCCGGAGACATGGAGCTTTGCGTGCCAGGATGTCTCTGATGCACCTCGTTGGGTGGAGCTCCTCTCCCAGCCGCCCGCCAGTGTACCTGCTGAGGATGCCAAGGAGGAAGATCCAGGCAAGGGCCTGGTGCCGCGGTTCTCTGCAAAGGTGCTCAGGGAGGCGCAATCTGATAGCCAGCCTGGTAGCCAGCCTGGCCTGTTGCGGATGGACACTGCGTGCCTGGAGCAAGCCTTCGGGCCGGCAGCCGGTCGACAGGAGGGAGCCGAGCAGTTGAGGAAAGCTCTTGGCCGCGAGGCTGGGGATTCTGGTGCATCCGGTCAGGAGGGAGACGAGCTGAGAAAGGCTCCTGGCCGTGAGGCCCGGGAAGTTGGCAGCAACATGATCTTTTCAGAGTCAGAGGAGGAAACGACCAGCAGCTGTGAGACGGAGGACGCCCCTTCACCCAGCTCACCGGTAGAGAAGGTCGTGACGCTGCCACAGCTCGAGATCTCCCTGGCGCGTCAGGTTTGCCGCTTCGACCAGGCCCTGCAAGCCACTGAAGCCGACTGCCGAGAACTCCAGCGCTACTTTGGCGTCGATGTTGCGCAGGAGGGATCCCGGAGGGAGTTGAACACAAACGCCTCGCGCCTGCTTGAGTCGCTAAGCGACTTCGTGGTGCAGATCCGGGGTGCCTGGGAAGACCTGGAGAAGCATGCTCAGTCTCAGTCAAAGCCCGGGCGAAACTCTTTGAAGACTTCGCGGAAGACGCTGCGGAGCCTCTCGTCCACGCAGCCATCAGTACAGCAACCGCGGACTCTTCGGGAGCGTGCATTCGTGCCGCAAGATCCCGATCTGCTGCGGGAGGGGCAGCGAGTCTCCATATTTGGACGGCGCTGACGTGGTGTCGGCAAGAGTCGTCACTGAGTAGTCCGTGTAGTCTCACTTTTTTTCTCTCAATTTTCTCCAAGCATTGGCTTGAAACGTATTCAGACATTTAACCTCAAAATAGTTGTCCCATCCCTGTGAGAAGCAGAATTGCAGACACAGATGCTCGTCATGGGATCCTCCGACATACTAATGTGGCAGCGCAGCAGTGTCCAAAGACGCGCGTTGGTGAGCTGACGGTCTGTACTCTGTAGCCGCACGCACTGGTCAGGGACCGACTGATGTGAATTCATACATTGACACATGTTTATATATATGTGTGTATATATATAGGCATATGTACTCTTGCTTATTGCAGGTGTGATTATTAGGTTATTTTGATGATTATGATGATTGTTAGTAAGGTTATTGATCTATATATAATGCATGTATTTTCATAGCCATACATACATACATACATACATACATACATACATACATACATACATACATACATACATACATACATACATACATACATACATACATACATACACACATACACACATACACACATACAACGTTCAGGCCCTGGAGTGGGTGAAGCTCTTCGACCCCGGTGCCCATGCCAAGCTGCAGCAGACACGCGCGGCCGCCGAGTATCGGAAGGTCAAGGCTTCCTGGCAGGTTTAGGGTTTAGGGTTTAGGGTTTAGGGTTTAGGGTTTAGGGTTTGGGGTTTAGGGTTTAGGGTTTAGGGTTTGGGGTTGAGTCAGGAGGGTTTAGGGTTGGGATGCTCCCCCGTATACTAACAGGGATTGTAGTACCCCGTATTATATTCCCTGCTAAGGACTGTTCGTCTAAGGACGTGTTTGGCTAAGGACGAGCATCCCGAATTTAGGGTTTACAGGGTTTATAGGGGTTTTCAGGGTTTAGAGGGTTTACAGGGTGTATGGGGTTTATAGGGGGTTTATAGGGGTTAGAGGTGACTCTTGGGAAAAGCCCTTAACCCAAACCCTATAAGCCCTACATCAAGATACACCCAGGTTCCCTGAGCCCAAACCCTATAAACCCTACATCAAGATGCACCAAGGTTTCCATGCCTTCCTTCTTCACTGCGGCTGTCTTCCTGTCAAGTTCGATCTCCAAGAGGCCTGTTAACCGGCTTTTGCCCTTGTGGAGGGGGGAAGTTATGGCTTCACTCTATTTAGGGTTTAGGGTTTAGGGTTTGGGGTTTAGGGGTTTAGGGGTTTAGGGGTTTAGGGGTTTAGGGTTTAGGGTTTGCGGTTTAGAGTTTTGGGTTTGGGGTTTGGGGGGTCCCAAAAGGGTCTGGGGGGGCTCGGGTGAGATCCAGCTCATGTCCACGAGACTACGTGCAGGGCACGCCACTTGCCGCTTGCCGGGGCAGGGTGCGGGTGAGCAGGAATATGTATCTGCATTTTCCAAAGAACTGGTAGTGGTAGTGGGGTCGTTGGAGAATGCAGGTTTATTGGTTAGGGAGTACAGTTTTCGAGTCAGCAGCATCGGAAATGTCAGACCTGCAGTGAGAGATTGAGCGATGCACGCCCTGCATGACCCTTGCGGACAAAGCGTGCAGGGGCAATCTTCAGAACGCTTTCGCAGTTGCGACGCTGGTGTCGTAGTGTTGTCGCTAGAGCCCCCTTAAATTTTAGGGTTAAGGGGTTAGGGTTTAGGGTTTAGGGTTTGATTAGGGTTCAGTGTTTAGGGTTTTAAAGTAGCACACTTGCAGGCTAATAAGGCCATTAAAGGTACTGGCCGAGTTAGAGGTCGACACCGCATCTGCAGCGCTACGTATACCCCGCGTCTGAGAAACCCTGGAGGCAGAAGATTCGCTTCCTCCTGGGTGTCTTTGACGCTTGGCATAGCTGAGTGGTAACCTTTTCCCTTTTTTGGGGGTATGGGCCGGGTTCCCTTTATACAAGTGCTTAAACACCAAAAAGGGGGCACCCTGAATGATAACATGGTTATACTGGGCTACCTGAAGGACGAGAACGACAGTCGGACGTTTGAGGTTTCGGAGTTCACGGCGATGATCGCGTCTTTCTTCCACGGCATCGCATGCGCCTTCAACCTTCAGAGCAGCTTGCCGAAGGATGCGCGGAGACAGAACCTCTACAAGCAGCTCTTTGAGCCTCAGTAGCTGAATGAGTACACTTTACACTTTGGGATACTCTACTCCCCTATAGAACTGAAAGTGCGCACTTTTTTTGGGGGGTCTTATGAACTCAGCAGCTAAGGAGAGGATTGTCGAGTCAGCGAAGACGCGGTCGACATCGGAGGAAGTCCACTCGATGCTCTCACAGGGCTCCGTGCAGTTCCCGGCCATTGAGGACTGGTTTCTGGGACTCTCCGGGGATCCCCTCTCAGCTCCTTTCGCCCTTTTCCTGGAGCGCTTCTCCGTCAGAGGCCTGGACGATGACCCGGAGCCTTGGGGACGAAATGAGCCCTGAAAGGGTTTAGGGCTCAGAAAACTCTTAATAGGGGATTCTAGTAGTAGCAGTAGTAGTAGTAGTAGTAGTAGTAGTAGTAGTAGTAGTAGTAGGAGTAGTAGTAGTAGTAGTAGTAGTAGTAGCAGTAGTAGTAGTAGTAGTAGGAGTAGTAGCAGTAGTAGCAGTAGTAGCAGCAGCAGTAATAGCAGTGGTAGTAGTTGTAGGGTATATGACCCCCTATTTTAGGGTTCCTTTGGTAAGGAGGTTTTTGAGGACGAGGAGAGAAAGTTCCGCCTCTCTCACAGCGCTCCGGTGAACCCTCCGATCCTTGGGGGCGAAATGAGCCCTAAACGGGTTTAGGGTTTAGGGTTCCTAAACCCTAAACCCTAAACCCTAAACCCTTCTTAGGAACTATAGTAGTAGTAGGGTATATGACCCCCAATGTTAGGGTCTTCCTCTGGACCTTCAGGATGGAGACGGCCGCATCCCTGGACTCGAGTTTTTTGCGGCGAAGCCAGATGAAGGTGCCTTTTTTTGAGGTTTAGGGGTTTGAGGTTTAGGGGTGTAGGGGTTTAGGGGTTTAGGGGTTTAGGGGTTTAGGGGTTTAGGGGTTTAGGGGTTTAGGGGTTTAGGGGTTTAGGGGTTTGGGGTTTGGGGGTTAGGGTTTGGGGGTTTGGGGTGTAGGGTTCAGAGCCTTCCCCTTGCACAGGGCATGTTCAGAAGACCCGGAGCGTTGTAGATGCAAGAGCCCTGACAGAAGAATCAGAAGCGAGATGAAGCGAGCCACCCAGGCGAAAAAAGAAAAACAAACAAACGCACGTCGGCAAAGAGCATGACAGGCGCCCAACTGTATTAAAACAGTTCCCTGAGGTGGTCCGGGATCTCTTCTACCACTGCTCATCCACGCGCCACTTTGCCATAAGCCACGCCGAGGCCGAGCAGGTGGTGAGGACGTCGATTGAGCCAGAGTTTTGGATCAAGATGCTGTCCAGGTCCCTGGAAGATCTGGAGGCAATGAGGCAGGATGGTGTGAAGTTCAACATCGGCGTCTTTTTTAAGAAGCTGTGCCCCCGGGCGACCTCGCGCCACCTTCGTATGTTTCAGACGTGGCTGAAAGAGCTCGAGCAGCTCGAGGGCTTGGGGGCCTCGGTTGCTTGATAGCCCAGTGGTACCCTTTTCCCTTTTTGGGGTTTAAGATTCCCGGTTGTAAAGTGGCCAACCCTTTGAAAGGTTGCCCTTACTATGATGTGGTTTGAAGGTTCAGGGTACTTCTTAACCAATTAGAACTGTACTTCTAACCCAAATTGTAACCATGTTAGGGCACTTAAGGGGCTTATAAGTGGGTAAGAAGTACAGCTATAGTTGGTTAGTAAGTACCCTGAACCTCCAAGTACCAAGGTTGAGGAGACCCAGCGGCTTCTGGACTCGTTCCAGTACACGCTCTCTCGCCCTGTCTTACCCGCGGCCATCCGGCAGGAGCTCATGGCCGATTATGGGAACGCAGAGATGCTCAGGGGTACTTGGATTTGTTTTTGATCTTTGGGTACTATGACTCCTAAGAAACAGCAGAAGTTCTACTTTTTGAACTGGGGTTCCAAGTTCAGTATAGGATGAGGGAGATGGCCGCCAGGAAGATGTCCATTTTGGACACCTTCGACGAAGGCGTCATGATGTCTAAAGATGATTTCATCTTCGCCATCTGCCCGAAGGAGTATCGGCCGAAGGTCGGCAACCCCATTGTAGAGAAAGTGGTGCGCCAGTTTTTGACGATGGAGCTGGCCAGACTTGAAGAGCTGCACTCGCAGAAGAAGATGCTCTTTGTCGGCCAAGCACAATCAAGTCGTCGCCCCCCACTGAAACCTAGCAGCTGAATCAGTACACTTTATACACTTCTTGGCATACTCCAATTCCCTATAGAGCTGAAAAATGTACACTTTTTTTTGGGGGCTTATGAACTCAGCAACTAAGGAAATCATGTTTTTTTTTTTTTTTTTGGGGGGGGGGGGCTGGGGGGGGGGGGGGGGTGGGGGCTTATGAATTCAGCACTAAGGAAATCTTTCCTTAAGCAGGAGGTTCCTGAGTCTACCTGGACCCTCTGGAACCAAGCCTTTGACCTTCTCGATGTGGATGGTAACTCGGTAGGTTTTGGGACATTTCGTACATATATATATATACATATATATATATACATATTTTTTCTACATCTATATATATATATATTCATATACATATTTGCCCTTATTGGGAAGATTTGTTCACAGGGTTTTACAAGGGGCGCCAGCCGAGGCAAGGACCTCCTCACGATGAAGAAGCTCGTCTCCTCTAACCAGGTCCCTTTGGATGTTTGCCGCTTCCTGCGCAAGGCCATTGTGGATGACACCGTTGGTGAGGAGGGCGGCTTTTCAAAAGCGGCCTTCCTCCGCAAGATGGTTGAGATCTGTGGCTTTCGGTGCAGGGCGTTCTCCTAAGGTGGATGCGCAGTGCGCAGCGATATGGTGTGTGGACCCGAAGTGACTTGTCCGCCGTGTCTGATTTTCGGCCCGTTCAAGACGTCTAGGAGATGGAATGGAGGTTTGATTAATTCATTCTTGCCGAGTTTTCCACGCATTTTCATGTGAAGGGAGCCAGGCGCTATAAGCTCTGACGCATATACATTGGGGACCAAATGAACCCTAAAATTGGGTCATGTACCCTACACTTCTAATCCCTATTAAGGTATATGAACCGGTAAACCCCTTCAGGGTTCATTTCCTTCCCAAGGTAGTACACACACAGCCTGCTCCTTCTAGGACGATACAGGTCATTCCCATCTCTATGGCCGCAAGCCTGATGCAAAATCATTTTTTCTTAAACCACGCCGGGGCTGGGCTGAGACTGCCGTCGGACCCACTCAGACCTAATTACACCTACAGATTCCACCATGCTTCCTTAAACGCTCCGCTGGTTCAGGCGCAGTTCCCGCCTCTTGCTGTACGATATTTGTATGCACAAAAAGTGAATGCTCCAGACTCCGTCGTGGAGCTGGATCTTTGAAAAATCGCACAGGACATGCACTCTGCACCTGTCATCTGCGCCACACATCGCCTGCCGACCCACGTGAACATGGTTGAAACTTAGAGAAGACTTCTTGGCAACTTTGTGGCGAAGATGCTTGTGCACCGCATGGTTGCCAGGGCAAACTGCTGGCTGTCAGCTGCATCCGCGCGCTTCATTTAGAGGCTTCGCTTGCTGACTTGTCGAGCGGCGAAGAAGCACCTGGCCCGACTTTACTTGCTGGGCCCAAGGCCAAAGGTTGTAAACGGCTTGTGCTAGACTTGCTCAGACCGGAACGCCGCAAGATCGAAAAGGCGGTGCAGTCGGCTCATGACTGGCGCATCTCAAGCAATTGCCTTGGAATCAAGCTCCGGGATGGCAGTGGCAGTCTTGTAATCTGAGTGTCTCGTTGCTCGTGCTCAGTTTGCAGCTTTTGGTGTCCGAGCACCTTCTATTCTGAAGCATCTGGGGGCACTAGAAGGGTTAGATTAGGGGAAGTTCTGTGCCAAGAACAGAGAGATGGAGAGATAAAGTCTGGTCCAGGTGCGACCGGTTCCGACGGGGAAGCTCAAACCGACTTTGTTTACACCCTCCGTGTATGTCTGATGGCGGTAGGGGTGTTGTCTTGCACCTTCGGACAGCCACCCGCAGCTGGGCTTTTACCCTAAACCCTAAACCATAAACCCTAAACCTAAACCCTAAACCCTAAACCTTAAACCCTAAACCCTTTTCCTTGGGGAGAGGCCGGGCAAGCACAGGCAGAGGAGATCAAGAAGAATCAAAGAGAGACTGCGTGAGCGCTCGAAGAAAGCTAGGACCCGGACTAGGCCCTGGATTCCATTTTTTTGGGGTTGGTAAATTCCCTTATTAGGCCCTTATTCCATTTTGGGGGATTGGTAAGTTCCTTTAGACCAAACAGGGCGGCCCTGATTATTCCTAGGTTACTCTTGGGCCTCGCAAGTGAGCAAGCAGAAGGGCTCCGGGCTTGGGCGCCCAGGAATCGGGCCACGAGCAGATGCCGCTCTTTCTTTGGGCGTTGCAGCTCTCCTTCCCACATCCGCGTCATCGCATAGCCATGGGAAATCAGACTCCCAACCAGGCGCGATCCGCCACTGACTGGGGGCTTCATACATGATGTTACGTTCAGACCACACTCTGTTACTAAGTTACTCTAGGTCCCTCTAGGTCCCTGTAGGTCCCTTGGTCCATTGTGCAAGGTTCCTCCGCTCTACCTTGTCGTCAACCTAGGTCAGTCCTTCGAGCTTTCGGGGCTTCTTAAAGATTTCTCGATTCCTCCCGCCGACCTGACAAACTGGGTGCCCATAAAACTTGAAGACTTTACACTCGAACACAGCGGCTTCTGCCAAACAGAAGGCTTTTCCAACGTGTTCTTCCGTTGACGCAGCTCTCTCCCACGAAGCCTCGCCAAACAAACCTGAAGAAGTTATCCTAAACCCTAAACCCTAAACCCTAAGCCCTAAACCTGTGTAAGTTTCCACCTTTCAGTCTCGCAGCTTGTCGTCGGGCATGCGGCATTATTTGGAAGAATATGCAATGAGACATTTTGAGCCATCAAAACCATCATCAGGCTTATACTATGCGATATTATATCACATGATGTATCATCTGTTTACGTAACATATTGGATAATAATAACATATAATGTATATATATATATACGACACATATATATATATATATATATATGATGTAACATCTAATCGACGACATAATCTCATGTCATATAGAAAGTGTTTGACCACTGCATGGGTGGATAAAGGGGTTCAAACAATCGTGGTCTCTCAGGCGAAAGCCATGCCTGTGGGGGGCTCAAGAGGTCTAGCTGAGGCATTCGAGTGCATGGAACCCTGAACCCTAAACCCCAAGCCCTAATCCCTAAACCCTGCATGAAGCTGTTCACGATGCTTTTTTTCAAGGCCCAACAAGGGCATTCTCCAGTGACATCTGTGCTTGAAGGTTCAGGGTACGCATTAACCAATTATAACTGCACTTATGACCCACTTATAAGCCCCTTAAGTGCCCAAATGTGGTTATAATTCGGGTGAGAAGCAGAAACCCCAAACCCCAAACCCCAAACCCTAAACCCTAAACCCTATGTAAACCCATTGGTTTCAAAGTACCCTGAACCTCCAAGTGGTAGCAGGAGCAGGAGCAGGCCAAAGTGGTGGAGGCTGAGATTCCTGAGCCGCAGATGCAGCTGGTCCGAAAAAGCTTGGGTTCTTTTGGGGGAGGGGGGGGTTTAGGGTTTAGGGTTTAGGGTTTGGGGTTTAGGGTTTAGGGTTTAGGGGGAGGGGCGTTCGGGTGAAACATTTCTTGGGCGTTCCATTGCACGTCATGCTGGTGAATTTCGTAAGGATAACCCAAGCCCTCTGAACCGCCCTTGGAATTCAGAGTAAGTTAGAACTCCTCCATGCATCGTGCCGTGAAGAGCATATCTGCAGCATACTCCCTGATCCTGAGGTTCGAGGACTTTCGCCGCGCTCTCCATTGGGTCAGGGCCAGGGATGCGTCCGCAGGAAGTGCAGATGACGGACAGCTTCATGCGGATGCGAAGAAGCGCCCGGGGTTTCGAGTGCAGGAACGCGCTAGGCAGCTAAGTTCCTAAGCTGCCCCACCCCCCGCCGCCCCTTGAGATTCAGGCTGGGGGGGGGGGGGGGGGGCACCCTTGGCTTTGAAGGCGTCCCCTAAACCCTAAACCCTAAACCCGTTAAGGGCCTTAGGAAGGGTTTTGGGAGTTCTTACCTGTCACCAAACCCTAAACCCGTTAAGGGCCTTAGGAAGGGTTTTGGGAGTTCTTACCTGTCACCAGTCGGTCAGTAGGGCATGAGGGAATTAGGGGCCCTATGTAATCCCTTAAAGGGCCCTTCTTCCCTCATTCCCTGCTAACCAACAGTAAGATCAGGGCAAGACTGCACATGCATTGCTTGTATCTCCTTGTGTAAGCAAGTCTTCAAATGGGAGATTTCCACAACTGCCGCACTAAGCCCAGCCAGCCCTTTCCACGCAAGATTGCTTCCATTTCAGGACTGGTGTTTTCATGAGCTGTAGCCCTAGCATGAGATGTTGAGATGCAGCAGGAGCATCAACAAGAATCTGCCTTCCAATCCTACTGGTCGATCAAACCATTCGCTGATTATTCACAGTTCAGAAACCTGGCATGCGTACAAACGTGTTCTGGTTGCAGAGAGATCGCATCGGAGCTCAGCAATATTTAGTTTCGATTCTGGCTCAGACTTGCATAAACGAAGGTGAACGGTGAACACATCGAGGTGTGGGCCTTTGCAATCTCAAAACAGGACCGAACTCACATGCCATGAAGCGCGGCCCTTCACAGGAATGTTCTGGCATCAGCGCAAAATAAGGGCCAGGCTATCTGGAATAGTTTTTGTTGTCCCTTTTTTTGGGGGGGAGGGGGGGGGGTATTATCGCATAATTATGTAGGAACCATGGGGATACCATTAATTAGTAAGTATTCCGACCCCTCTAAATGACATTCAACTCTTCACGACATGCAACACTGCCTTACCAGTGCTAGTCCCTGCGCAGGGCTCCGCATGCCTTGGCGGCGGGGAATTGCAAGAACCTGTTGCTTTGTCACCCTGCTGGACCAGGCCCCCGTGCGCACGTGATCAGAGTTTCGAGTGAGGCTGAGGTATGCAGCCGTCGCAGCTACCATGGCCACTGCAACCTTCAGATCTTCAACGGCAATTGTTGCATGACATGCCTGCCAGCTAGAGATTGTATTGTGGACATGTTCGGACTCCGTCGACTGGTCTGGCTCCCGGAAGAAAGCTCGCCTTTGATGCGATGTTCGCGGCAAAAAGTTCGTAGCTTCCTTCTGGCAAACAGTCATGCGGCAGCTACCATCACCATCACAACACACATCGTGCAAATGATTTGACCACGCTACGGCCCCCAAGAGACCGTCACCTTGTAGCCACTTCGTGCATGCCGCCCCGGCGCCCTCTTCAGCGAGAGCATGGACCGTGGCCTCTTGCCACCCCAACAAGGGTGGGTTGAAATCGGGGTAAGTAACCCTTAATGATGAGAAACACTTAAATCGCACCCATTCTGGTGGAAGGAGAGTTCATGGGTGCAGTTCTGAGAGTTTGGCAGGGGCTGAGTTGCAAAAGACGTAGCGCTCAGGCGTATCTCCAGGGGGGTGGGGGCAGGGCTATGCTTCTACTGCTTTCTTGCTGCCAAGGGTTCCACTTGACAATTGAACCCACCTGAATCTTCTACATGAGCGGTTCTGCAAGGTGGGGTCCCTTTTGGAGTCGCTTTTTCGAAGGTGCCGTACGATATGGGGACCCCAAAAAAAGAGACACTGACCTAGAGAACTACCCAAATTTCAGGCCTACGCCGCCATCATGAACTTTCCACGACACTGCGAGCTTGTTCGCTGGGTGTCGCTTGCCTCACAGCCTGCGATTGCTTCGTCGAGGGTCAATGGGATCTCGTAGCAGCAGTGTGGCTTGCTTTGCCACGAAAAGCAATTTCCGCAGACAAAGATGAAGAGTTTGAGGTCAGATTCTAGAAGTGCTGGTGTCTCTAAAGCGCCTAAGTTGTCCTCAGAAACCCTAAACCCTAAAACCCTAAACCCCTATAAACCCTAAACTCCCCCCTTCCCCCCCCCCCCCCCCAAGCAGCAACTGACAGGTCCTGAGCTGCCTCGGGCGTTGCTGGGAACTCTGGTCACCACGAAACTTCGCGACGCCTGTCTCAGAAGCCCGGGTTTAGCGACCCAAAAGGGTTGGGTGGCATTGTTTCATACCTGTTTTTCGTTAGCTCCTGCGGGTCTAGGTTTGTTTTTTTTTTTTTTTTTTGGGGGGGGGGGGGGGGGAGGGAGTCTGGTACATTGCGCGTGAGCATTTGATATCTCGAAAGAGATGGACCTGTTCCCAAATTCAAGCCGGACTCGTTTTATGGGGGGGATCTTATTTCAAGCAGCCTTTACGCATCCTTTCCCCCAATCACGCCGCACAGTCCTGTGAAAAGTGGGCGAAAGAGTTGAGCTCGAACCTGTGAAGGCTTGTCTGATGCGCTCTAGTGTGGGAGTTGGAAAGTCGATGCCCAAAACCTGTTGGGCCCCGCCATCAACTTCACCCGGGGGACCAAATGAGCCCCAAATTTGGCATATACCCCGATACTCCCCTGCATTTTCTATTAAGGCAATATGAACCCTAAACCCTTGTAGGGTTCATGTGGGGCACCTACCCTAAACCCTAAACCCTAAACCCTAAACCCTAAACCCTAAACCCTAAACCCTAAACCCTAAACCCTAAACCCTAAACCCTAAACCCTAAACCGACTTCAAGACCCTCTTTGCCCCGAGGGTTTCCAGGGAGGAGTTCCACAGCAGGCACCTGCGGCCCTGGACGTGGAAGCGCAAGGACCCCCCTGGCACACTGGTTCTAAGTAGGATATAACTATCCCTTAAAGGGTGTATATATATATATACATATAAATTTATACATATATATAGGGGGGGGATGTAGGGTTCCTTCATTCCCTACAAAGAACCAGCCGGAGGAGTTCGAGAGCCTGTTGTCCAGCTTGGGCCTTAAGGCTTTTGGGGGTTGAGTGGAAGAGTGCCGGGGCGTGTCTCTGCATGTCGCCCGTAGCTTTTCAGCTCAGTGAGAGCAAAAGAGAGAGAGAGAGAGAGAGAGAGAGAGAGAGAGAGAGAGAAGAAAGAAAGAAAGAAAAAGAGAGAGAGAGAGAGAGAAAAAAAAACAAAAAGAGAGAGACCGCACACTCCGTTCGGTTCCTGTCACACAGAACTGTGAACTCAAGCAAGCCCGCTACAAGCGGGGAGATCTCGTGGGAGTCTGGGTGTGCGGCCAAACTCGACTACCTGGTCGACATGTGATCGGCATGCGTCCCTAGGGTAGCTAAAAATCCACCGGTAAGGGAGGGGAAGGCTCATGCACATAAATAGACAAATAAATCAATGTATATATCTATATATATATATACATATATACATATACACACACATACAGTACAACATAGTACTGCTATACATACATGCTCACATCTGCATATACACATATATATGTATATATAAACGTATGTATATATCCTTTGCCTATTTATTTACTTATTCATATGTGTATCCAGCTGTACCTCCAGGCACCACCTTCTCCATTCGAGGCATCAGACCTGCGAGAGAGAGAGAGGGAGAGAGCAACAAAAACAAAACAGCACAAAAGAGAGAGCGGGAGAGTCCAAATCAGGGGATCCGCATCTGGGGATGTCGTTACACACTCAAGAGTTCAGTTTCACACAGACCTCGGACGATACGGGCGCACGGGCACGCGCGCCGGAAACTTCGGAGGACCCTTCATGCCCAGCAGAACAACAAAACGAGAGAAGGAAGAAAAAGAAGGAGAAGAAGGAGAATCGAGAGAGCGAGAGAGTAGGGAGGCAGAGGGAGACAGAGAGACCAAAACGAGGTTTTTGAAGAACCTGCTCAAGAGGAGGGGGGGGGGGGGGGGGGCATGCATGCAAAAAGCACGATGCAAGCGCCCCTCCTCCTAGCCCTCTGACGCTCTACTGAGGGCTCCAGCATCCCCGGGTCCGTGGCATGCTCAGTTCCGACACTTCGGATGGCGACGTAGAAATGATGGCATGTGGTGCATAACAGACAGTATGGAATACATCACATAAACAAATACAAAAGCACAGTTCAACCCTTAACTATATACATATATAAACAGTATCAATATATATATATATACACAGATTTTTGAGTGTAAGTATAACGACATATAACATTGTGTTTTTTCGCACAGACATGATGTTACTTGTGCCTCTGTGTGCAAGCCTTGACAACAGCAAAGGGGTCACTGCGCCAAGGGCATGGTATGTGTGGGGCTTGGTTCATGTTGAGTCAGCGACTGACCCAGGGTGCATACACGCATGGCCCCAACATGGAGAAGACTGGATCGCACAGTAATGACCAGGGTTTAGGGTTTAGGGTTTAGGGTTTAGGGAGGCAAGACCCCCTGGATACTGAGCTTTTGCATGTTTCTTGCAACCGCAAATCATGGGCTTTCTCGCCATGGGGGCAACGCCGGAAGATGAAAGGCCGAGCCGCGCGATGGGGGTTTGGGGTTGGAATGATTTGGGCACAACCTTTGGTGCTGAAACATGTCCGACACACACTAAGTGGCTTTAAAGGCAGACTTTGGTGGTAGTTTTGCATTCGCTTGATCAGCTGATCCGCTCCTGTTGCATTCTACACCGGCGGCAAGCATTACAGCTTACACTTGCAATTCCTTGTTGTAGGTTTAGGGTTTATGAGATTGTGGGATTCAGGCTAGTGCCGCAGATCAGAATGCGAAGCTGCCGTATGTGGATGGCAGGAGACACTGACGAGGATTCGCATGAGAAGGCTGAGCATGCCCCTCCTCGAGATTTGCTGCTGGGTGTGTTGCGACAGCCGGATCCGGGCTACGACTCCCTGCGGCATCTGCAGGTACCGTTAGTATCATGAGTAGCTTCGCATCTCGCAGTAAGGTCATGCTTTGAATTTGATTTGCAACTTCGAGACATTCGGTTTGTGAGTCCGTCAAATCCCACCGAGGCCAGAGTCCTGACATTCTGACATTCTGACGTGTTCGAAGATTGTACCCCTCGAGATTTCTCTCAGTCCTGTAGCTGAGGGACCTGTTGCAAGTTGACGAGGGGATTGGGATCCTACAGATGCATCTGAAACCCATATATCAATCGTTGACCCCGAAAGCCCAACGGCCATTATCAGCCCCTAAGCAATGTACCGATGCCTCGCTATAGAAAGGCTCTATCATGAACCAAGACAGATTCTGCAGGGAAACCTGCTTTACAAACCAGCACTGGGCCTTCTACGCCCAAGATGAAAAATTGTTCCAACCCTAAACCCTAAACCCTAAACCGTAAAAGGCCCCGGTTCCTCCACAAGCAATGACAGCCTCTTTTGTAAGGATGAGGCCTGGCATCGGCGTTTCAGTTCACTGAGGATGGTGGCAATTGCTGCTCGGCTGCAGTTCTTGGAGCAGAGCTCGGAGTCAGGGTTTAGGGTTTAGGGTTTAGGGTTTAGGGTTTAGGGTTTAGGGGCCCGGGGGTGTAGGGTGATTTTGAGTGGAGGGCGTTTTTTTTTTGGGGGGGGTTTGACGCTTGTACTTGCTTTCGGGCGTTCAAGACAAACACCCCCCCCCCCCCCCCCCCCCCGGCCGAAGAGAACCTCCCGCTTTTGTATGCTGCACCCAACTCGGCAATAACGAAGACAAGCCAAAGCCACTTCTTTACAGCCCGAGAGCACTTCCCAAACCAACAGCCCGGAACAAGCCAAGCCGACCCAGCGGTCCCCTTCGCCTCACAGGCAAGACCTCTGAATGCAAGCTAAAGACCCAAGCCCTAAGCTACCAATTGCTTAAGAACCCTCCAAAGAATATTCTTCCTTATAAGCGTAATATAGGGCTCATTATTGCTTTCTATTTTTACGGGGGGTTCCTAAGCAAACAGTCATAAATCCTACAACAACCATGACAAAGCCAGGCCTAAAGTCATGCCTTCCAAAAGGCCCCTAAACCCTAAACCCTAAACCCTAAACCCTAAACCCTAAACCCTAAACCCTAAACCCTAAACCCTAAACCCTAAACCCTAAACCCTAAACCCTAAACCCTGGCAAAAAAAAAAAAAAACTAAACCTAAACCCTAAACCCTATACCCCAACCACTTGGCATTTGAGAAAGGCTTGTAGCGCTGTTACACATTGGGGCTGCGCCAACCGCCTTTGAGCCACAAATGGGGGCCGCCGCGCCCAACCGATCTACTCGACGTAGCCCCATATATGTGCAAAATGGTTCTGAAGGGAGAGGGCTTCATGCTGGGGGGTAGGTACCTAGGGAACGTAACAAAGCTTAGGGAGCCTGAGTAGTGTTTGGAGCCACACTTCCCCTAAGCCCTGAGCCCTGAGCCCTAAGCCCTAGGCTCTACGTCTACACCTAAACCCCCCCTTAAGAACCCGATAAAGATGGATCGAGGAGTCCTACTTCGCGCAATCGGACTCCTGGCGCTTCACGCCCAGCATGAGACCTGGCCTGCTATGTTCACCCGCCTTGATGGTCTGATGTTTATAAGTTGGGATGTTCCCCCTTATACTCACAGTCCTTTTTCAAAGCGGGTTTAGGGTTTAGGGTTTTAGCCTCCCCCCCTCCCCCAGATAGGATCTTGGATGTTGTTGAGAATTTGTTGGTCATACTTCCCCTAAACCCTCAACCCTAAACCCGGCAAAAAAGCGGGAATTGCTTTCAAAAGCACACCCAGACCCAAAGTCCAAAGATGCCTGGAAAAGTTTCTGGCGTGGAATCCTTGGGGGGGGGGGGGGGGGGGGGGGGTGGATTCAAAGCTCTTCGAAAGCAATTCCCCGGCCAGTGTTTGCAACTTCCTACTGAAGGTGTTTCAGGTTTTTTTGTCTATGGGAATGTGTACTTTTGCTGGAATTCCCCGCCCCCTTTTCGTTTCCACCTGGGCGTTGCGTCCGATGATCGCGAGGCATCAATTGAGACCTTCCTGCACACCGTACCCTAAACCCTAAACCCTAATACAACTTGCTTGTGTGCCTCGCCTGGCTTGTCCGAGCGTGAGCGATTGATACAACTTGCTTCTGAGTAAATTTCTTCATGTGCGCTCCAGAGCCCTGAGTCCTTATAGCCCCTCATACTCATGGCTGCCGGGCCCCCGCAACGTTGGTGTGTTTCAGTGGATGCTGAGACACTTTGCTTCACCCGCTTGGGACGACTTTGTGACAATCGAAACAAGTCGTGCGCAATGCTTTGCGATGTCCCCCGGCAATAGCGGTCCCTAACGGGGATTATACTGGGGGGTATAATATATCCTAAACCCCAGAAACCCTAAACCCCTATTAAGGACTGTTCTAGTACAAGGGGGATCATCCCCAAAGCAGTGCTTCAGGAAGCGCTATCGGGAGATTCCTCACCTCCGCAGGCCTGAAATCGCCGAGGCATCCGTTGCTGGGGGGACTTTGCGGGGGGGGGGCTTTCTCGCAGGTTTGGGAGACTTGGGTTCTGGGGTTCAGGGTTAGGGTTTAAGGGGAACTTTGGAGCTTCATCGAAGGTTTTGGGAGATTTGGGATGGGGTTCTGCGGTTTAGGGGTTTAGGGGTTTAGGGTTATGGGGGCTTTATGGACGGTCCTGGGAGAGTTGGGAGTACCTCCGTCTGCTTGGGCTCAGACTCGGAGGGCTTAGGATACTCGTCTAAAGACCCCGGGACTTCAGACGTAGAAGAGGGATGGTCAGCGGATAGCTTGGGCGGCCCGCAAGGGCAGACGACATAAGTTATGTTGTGTTGTGCAATGTTGCGACGAGAGGCAATGCAACGCGGTGGTATGGTATCGACGCACTGCATGTCACTATGGTACGTACTCTCAGCGTCGTGTCTAGAGGCTGGCATGGCTTGGAAGAAAGCTGTGCCGCTTCTTGTAGATGTTTGCGAGCCTTGTGGCGTGCCACAGTGACACGCCACAATGGCAAGAGTTCTATTGTCCAATGCTGGTCATGATGGTGTGGACTGGACCCCTACACAGTATCCTTGTATTTATGGAATAAATGGCTTAAGCAAGGTAGGGATTCTGATTCGTCGAGAGTTTTGATCTTGAGGCGTTTGGCAGACAGCTCGGCCAAGCCATGAACGAAGTCACTGGGCAGTTCGAGAGAAGTCACACGGGGGAGACGAATATGAATCTGGGACACAGCGAAGTGTCATGTGATGTTCTGTTGCAAGCTACAGTACCCGTCAAGATGACGCTGCCCTAAATCTGACATTCCGTAGTCCGAAATGGGTTGGAACTTAGTTTCAAATCACTTCCGTGATGGGGTGGTCGCGATCACCATGTGAGCGACCAATTACCATGCACCATAGATGTAGTTTTATAGGAAGATTAGAAAGGGGTGGACATCAGCTTGCGTTTGCAGCTTTCATCTGCAGAGCGCTCGGGGGACATGCACAAGAAACAACTATAACCCCAAAATCAGGTTTTCTTCCGTTTGCGTGTTGACCTGCAGAACCACAAGGCGACATGTGGAGTCGTTTGCTGGCGTGATGATCATGCAATGTTCTTTAAAGTAATTCTTTAGTTTACCAATCCCAACCTTGCATCACGTGGCAGCTGTCAAGCCATCAGAAAGCCAGGGTTCATCCTTTGTGGCATGTGGCTTTTGTTCAACTGAGGTCAGGGAGCCAATCCTGTGCATCGAGAGGTGCCTCCCGGAAGGGAGTAACTGAGAGGGTTTAGGGTTTAGGGTTTAGGGAGTTGCCGCAAGGAGTGTGTGCCTTTTGGATCACGCTTTCGTGGTAGCTTCGGGCGTCTGGCCGCCTGGCCATGCTTTGGTTCCCTGAGCCAACAAAAATGACCTCCGAGGCGGTTCCCGTTGCCAGTGCTGCGCTGTACCACTGAACAACTAGGTCTGATTCTACGGTACCAAAAGGTATCACAGAAAGCCCGCGCTTAACAACACGAAGTCCCCTCCCCTAGCCAAGCCCAAGCCAGACCGTACGTCGACGGCTTCGTGGCTGGACT